TTCTTTCATATAAAGTTAACATAATAATAGATGAGAAAATGAAAGTTGATGAAAATTTTACAGTGTTAAAAAATTTCATGGAAATGTGACATGGAAAATTATAAAAATGCACTTACTTTTTTCATCAGCTTTGTCTTTTATTGCTATGGTATCATTACTCAAAGAGACAGTCTGTGCATTTAGAATATCTGTTCTCATTCCAGGAAATTTTGGAGAAGAAATAAAGCGCCCTTCATAAGAATATAAATAGATACCACCACCATCTACAAGTAGAAAATGTCTAAAAAATAAAGAATAAAAATATATTCTCAAATAGGAATTTACTCTATTTTCATTTTTATATTAGAAGATAGTTTATGCTTTGGAAAAATCTACATCTTACAATTAAAACAATAATAAAACATAGATATACAAAGAATGAAATATAAAAACAACCTGAAAAGTCAACATTGGTTGTTTTGGTTTGTTTTCTAGGTTTTTGTTTTTTGATGGAGGTAGAAGAAAACTGAAAATGTCCATAATCACTACCCTATAAACTCAAGTTTCATCTCCTTTTATATTATACTTGCAATTCATTTCCTACCTAAAGAAGCATCTCTATACAAAGGCAATAAGAAAACATTGTAATTTACAATTCGGTAGTTTTAATGCCAAACTCTATTTGTTTCATGAAGTAGTATTAATATATATTTTACAATTAAAGATTATGCTAAGGATAATTAAAGATTAGATATTGTGTAAAGTCCTAAACAGTGAAAATGACTCAAACATTGACATTAGAGCTAGCATTTATTAAAATAAGATGCTCTGCTTTAAAATAATACAGTAACCATCAGTGAGAGCATACTGAATAAATATATTTACAAATAATGTATAAAGAAATAGATTTATTTGGAACTGTTCAAGTAAAAAGAATTTGTAGGTAGCTGGCATCTTACCTTTCAAGTGGCAAAAATGTCTTTTTGTTTTAAAATTTTATTATATAACTAAATAAATCACATATTTCAATTTCAATACATGGCTGATAGAAAATTTGACACAATTATTTTCTTGACCACTCAAGATCATTAGCAGATGATCCTACTCTTCAGTAACTGTTTAACTGACAGCTTTGATACTCATGAGAATCCCCTGGTGCATCAGAATAATTACGCTACTCAGCTACACAGTTCTGTGCTTTCAGTTTTCTCTATGCTCCCTTGCCAGGTGGTCACTTTTCTTCCTGTCATTGTGCCAGTCTTTAACAGCTCACCAGCATTCCTCTTCTGGTTTGCTATTTAGAAAAGGCTATGGGCTAGAAAACCTGATAATAACACTATTAAGAGCTGCCTAGGTGGTGAGTAAAGGGAAGAGGAATAAAGAGTACATGGTTCTAGTGCAAAGATTTCATGGGTAACTATTTTAGGTAATTGCCAATTATGTTTTCATACTTTATTCCTGGTTTTATTGAGCTGTAGCTTTCTAACTCTGACCTCTGATTCAGCACGGTGTCACTGTACTTGACAGACTGACTGATAATTTTCATGGAGAAGTGTGGGTTCCTGAGTAATAGCTATTCCTACTTTACTCCAGTTAACTGACTTGCAGTTTCTTAGTCCTGTATACATGAAGGTCTTGGTAGAGGATATTATTTTTTAAACTTTAGGTCACAGCCTAGTAGTGGCTCATAAAAATCAATGAATTTCAACTAATATTTAAAAACAAAACAGAATAGAAAATAGGGGGACAATGAGGTAAAAACTATTTCACAGTAATTTGCCTGTTTCACTCTTATTCTCTCATGTCATTACTCTGATGTTTACTTGTAATAAGTTTATTATTATCATTTTTAAATAAATTAACACCTTCTAAATTTCTCAATTTTAATTACTAGTACAGTAAATGCCAATATATATATAACCCACATATAACCTCAATAACTTTTTAAGAATGTAAAATTCTGAGACAAAAAAGTTTCAGTATCACTGATCTAAGAGCTTATCCTTTTTTTTTCTTTTAAAATAAATAGTACAAACAGATTGATTCCAAATGACTGATGTACCATTCTGCAAATGGCATGCTTTAAAGAGTGCTTTACTGCAATTTGAAATATTTTAACCCTAAATTCAATAGTCAAACATGATAAACAAATTACCTTTCTGCCTGCAGAATTAAACTAACAGTTCCTTCTTTGAGATCAAATATAAGTGGTGTATTCCAGTTCTTCGTACTAAAAGACAAATAAAATGGATGTTTAGTAACATTCAAAATACCAAATACTTTTTAATAAGTAGATTGGTACTATTTTAAATAAAGTGTCTTCAGTTTCACAGTAATACTGTATGTGTGTCTATTACGGCACTTGGTGCATTGTTCTGAAATTATTCACTTACACATCTGTATCCCTGACTAGAAAGCAGATTGTATCCCCAGCACCCAGCACATAGTAAGTACTCAATAAACATTTATCCTAGGAAGCACAATATGTGAATTGAGGAATCATAAGTTCAAGTTCTAAAAAATAAATAAATAAATAAATAAAAATAAGTTCAAGTTCTGCCACTTATTAGCTCTGTGATTTGGGCAAGTCATCTAATGTTTCTCATTTGAAAAATAGTAGCAGCACAGCATAGTGAAAAGAGGATGGATTTTTGGCTGGACAGACCAGGATTAGAAATCTGTTTTCACCACCTGTCGACCATATGATCTTAATAAACTTAACCTAAACAACAGTTTCCTTATTTGTAAGATGGAGATAATGATGACTTACCTAACGTGTCTAGCTAACTGCCTATTACACAGCAGATACTGAGCAAATAAAAACTATAATAACAATAACATGATGAACATGATCATATTTCCTACAGGTCACGCAATGTT